CTGCTGCCGCTGCTGTTGCTACGACGACTACGACGACCAGCAACAATACCAACAGTAGTATTAACAATACAAGAGCAATAAGATCGACGCCAAAGATGCCCAAGGTATTTCGCCGTCCTGAACGTGGCTTGACTGGCAGAGATCGCGCTGGATTCAATCGCCAAGCTTTGTTTATGCATGCGACGATGGCCAGGAGGAAGCATCTCATCGAATTACCAAACAGTTTCAGTGTGCCCATCATTCGCGAACCGATGTAGCAAATTGGGAGCAGCAACCAAATCGCACTCGCGGGCTTCGTGAGTAAGCGTCAGCGTTTCGACAGTCCTCCTGCCGCAGGTGGTCACTGGTGTTTTCTGCCAGAAACTGGGCTGATCAATGGCATAGTATTTGCTCGCTTGTTCTTGAGCCCCCGCTTGCACAGGGTTCCCTTTTACGGGTTCCCTAAGGGTCCTGTCAGGGATTCCCTTTTTGAGGTTTCCTTTGTGGTATGATAAACGCTTAGGGGCCTGAGCGTTTATTAGTGTTGATCCCTGATCAGTTAGCCCACTGTAACAAGAATCCTAAGATGGAACGCGGTTAACGGAAGTGCTCTGGCAGAGCAAGGATACTCAGAGCCGTGAGGAGACCCCAAGGGCGATACACAAGTACGACTACGACGACCCTACAGCTTTGAAAAAACCTTGTGCTAGCGTGAAACCCTAAACCTTAAATCGTCGCTAATCCCGAAGCCTTATGAAAGTCGAAGCCAAAATCGTGATCCTCTAAGCCCAGGAGTGCCATCGACAGTGCACAGAACGATCAGACGCTTGTACTTCAGGCAATACAGGCAGGATCACGCCGTGTGCTGCTTATGTTATACAATCTCTTGTGAATCAATGGTGCTTTGCTCAGGGTCGTTATAATCATAGGAAGAATACAATTTTACGGTTTCTGTTGGGATCCTCAAAATTTAAGACACTCCCACGCAACAAACTTTAAGTTTTCTGAACCGAGTAAGTGCCATCTGCAAGACGTTGACTTCCTGAGGCTCTGCAGGTGGTAAATAAACTTGGGGCTTTGAGTTAGACAGGAGCACCGCTTCCAGATTAGAATCCCTAAACCCTACCCTAAACCTGGCTGGAGCTTCATGAGCCCGGAACCCGAAGCCCTCCATCCTAGCTGCGTCCGCGGACAGGCCGAGAAGCAGGCGAACATCGAGAAGATCACCAACTTGCATTTCAGCTGTACATTCGGCCCCCCCCCCCCCCCCAAAAAAAAAAAAAAAAAAAAAAAA